CCCTTACTGATTTTTCTCTATGTTCCCCTGTTTTCCACACTCTTATGCCTTTTCTGGCTTTAATGGAGCATGCTATGATTCTAACTTCTCCTTCTCACTTTCTCAGCATATCATAGACTTAATTTTAATTTTTTAGAGTTTGCATTTGAGTTTTCAATATACATTTGCAACTAATCTACATTTATTTGCTGATAGTTCTGTACCACTTTTGGGGTAGTATAAGTACTCTCAATCCCTCTTATAAAAATACTTATAAAAGTACTCTCAATTCCTCTATCACATCCCTTATATAATTGCTGTCATTTATTTAACTTATTTGTCATATGTAATCAGCCAATACACTGTTGTTATTATTACTAGCAGACTATTATGTGTTCAATTAATTAAAAATACAAATATTACTTAATACCTTATACTTAATACTGTATTTCTTCTTTAGTGCTCTTCCTTTCTTCATATATATAAAAATTTTCAACCTAAATGATTTTCCTTCTCTCTGATGGATGACCTTTCAACATTTCTAGCAAGGTAAGTCTGCTACTATAATTTTAAATTCCTTCAATTTTTGTTTGTTTGAGAAAAATCATTTCTCTTTTACTTTTAAAGAGAAATTTATCTGGATTCAGAACTCTAGTTTTTTTTAACCCTCTAAACATTTCATAATTTCTTCTTTTTTTGATGCTTTGTTCACTTTATTAGTCCCCCAAATTTGGAGTGCATAGTCACTATTTTTTCCTCTAACATGTTAAGTTTTACTTTTTAAAATTTTTTATTTATTTTTTATTTATATATAACAGCTGAATGCATTATAATTCTTATTACACATATAGGGCAAAATTTTTCATATCTCTGTTTGTATACACAGTATATTAAAACCAATTCATATCTTCATACCTGTACTTTGGATAATAATGATCATCACATTCCATCATCATCAATAACCCCATGCCCCCTCCCTTCCCCTCCAACCCCTCAGCCCTATCTAGAGTTCCTCTATTCCTTCCATGCTCCCTATCCCTATCCCACTATGAATCAGCCTCCTTATATCAAAGAACACATTTGGCATTTGTTTTTTGGGGATTGGCTAACTTCACTTAGCATTACCTTCTCTAACTCCATCCATTTACCTGCAAATGCCATGATTTTATTCGCTTTTATTGCTAAATAATATTCCATTGTGTATATGTGCCACATGTTCATCAAACAAACTCTTCTCAAGTTTAACAGTCAAATAAACCTTTGGTTTTGACTTTCTATAATTTGAATATGATATGAGTAACTCTAGTTTCTGGCATTTATCCTACTTAGTTTTTTCTGAACTTCTTTTGTTTATGGATACAACACCTTTTAATTTATTTTATTTTATTTATTTTTATGTGGTGCTGAGGATTGAACCCAGTGCCTTACACGTGCTAGACAAGCACTCTACCACTGAGCCACAGCTGCAGCCCTTCTCTGAACTTCTTGATTCTATGTTTTGGTGTCTCTCATTAATTTTGGAAAAATCTCAGTCACTGGAATTTAAACCTCTTTTTTTTTGCTCTTCTCTTTTCCTTCTTATATTCATATTATATTCACAATATACTTGCCATATTTTTTAAATATTGTGTTGTATTGGCTTTTTATTTCACTACATTTTTCTCTTTGTTTTTCAGTTTGAGAAGATTCTATTGATATAACTTGAAGCTCACTGATTGTGTGTGTATGCATATGTGTGTGTGTATTACTGGGACTTTCATGCAGGGGTAGGGTGCTTTACCAGTGAGCCACAATCTCAGCCCTTTGTATTTTTCTATCTATCTATTTATTTATTTATTTTTGAGATAAGTTACCCACGCTGGCCTTGAACTTGTAGTCCTCCTGCCTCACCATCCTGAGTAGCTGGAATTATAGGCATGTCCACCATTGCCGCAGTGTGGCTGGGCACAATTAACGAGCCACTTATCAAGCAGAAACGGACTTTATCTTTAGAACACACACGCTGCTCTTCAGAATTCCCTCAGACCCCAACTGCCACCACAGGCTTCCCACAAGTGTCTCAATCCCCCACTCCTTCTGCTGTTGAGGCCAATTGGCTGGGTCGCGTGGGCAGAGCTAAAAGAGTCCCCCAGTGAGCAGCTCCGTGGTCTGAAAAGGCAGGGAAACAGTCCAATGAGCATCACCAAAGAGGAGCCAATCAGCTGGCAGCTGGAAATTTGCTGGGGCCATGGTGAGCCAATCAGCTGGAAGTTTGCTGGGGCCACTGTGAGCCAATCAGCTGGAAGTTTGTTGGGGCCCCTTAGGCTGTGACTCTCAACACACCATGCCTGGCTCAAGGTCACTGATTCTTTCCTTGGTATTCTATAAAAAGTATTCTTAATTTTGTTGCAGCATTTTCCCTTTGTATTTCTAACAATTCCTTTTTTAAAAAAATTTCTACATCTGACCTTAAATTTCCCGTTTTCTTGTAAATTATCCACTTTTTCCATTCTCTTAGTATATTTATCCGTTCTTTTAAGGTCCCAGTATGGCAATTTTAAATATCTCCTATATCTGAATTTGGTCATGATATTTGTTCTGTCCCTTCAGACTATGTTGTTTGCCTTTTATCAGGCCTCAAACCTGTTTTATTTTAATCCCAAAATGATGCGTCAGGTAAATGAGGCTGAAGTTAATAGGCCGTTCCTTATAAGTATTACTTTGAACCAGTTGGGAGTTAGGCTGTCTAAAATACTTTACTTGTGGTATTAGATGCCAAACTTTCCTCTAGCATTTTACTTCTATATATCCTCCTTTTTTGTTGTTCTCTCTGGGAAATTCATCTTAAATAGGGTTCTATGGCTTTCAGTTCTTAACAGCTAATATAAACTCAAATTATCCAAGCCCCCTATAATACTGGTGGTAAAATGTGAAAAGCAGAAGCATTCAACATTTCTCTGATTAGATGTCATACCCTTCATGGCTTGGATCTTAGGGCTGTGGTTTTCACAAGTGTTTTACAGCTTCCCCCTCACCTTAGAAAGACAAGAAATCTCAAGGGTGCTGGAGTTGTATTTTTCACTTCCTCCACATCAAAGGTTATAGGGTGTGGAGTTTTAGTATATTTTTTCCTCAATGTTAATTAGGTTATGTTAAAACCAAGTTATTTATGGTGACATAATTTGCTTTGAGGGTAAGCTTTTCTTAAAAGAATGGATCAACCAGGGCATGTTTAAAAATATTATTTTTTAGCTGGGCATGGTGGTGCATGCCTGTTATTCCAGTGGCTCAGTTGGCTGAGGCAGGAGGATCACAGGTTCAAAGCTAGTCTTCTCAATTTAGCAAGACTGTAAGCAACATAGTGAGATACTGTCTCAAAATAAAAAATAGAAAAAGGATTGAGGATGTGGCTCACTTGTTAAGTTCCCGTGGGTTTTATCCTTGGTACTAAAAATTGAAAAAAAATACTTTTCCCTTCAACCTGCAATAAGCATAAGAGAAATTGTCTCATATATTAACACTGCGAACCTGGTAGGATTCCTAGAGATAAAATTCATGAAAGTATAGTAGTCAAGTAAGATGGCCCCCTGGAATTTTTATCAAGCTATGCCCACAGTAATTCTCCTATATTAATCAATTACCCTTTAAATGTGGTACCAGGGTCCAACTGTGGCTTCTGTTCTCCATAACATGTGGCTCTCTCTCTGTACCTTTTTCTCTAGTTTTTGGAATAGTGGTGCCCTGTGATCACAATCTTTAATGGATCAAAAAATGTTGGTGCCTTTTTTTCCTTGTTACAAAAAGAGGAATAGGGCTGGGATTGTGGATTAGGAATAGGGCTAGCATGTGTGAGGCACTGGGTTCGATTCTCAGCACCACATATAAATAAATGAATAAATAAAGGTCCATCAACAACTAAAAATATTTTTTTAAAAAAGAGGAATAATATCTTCCAAGGTTCTTTACAGAATCCAGAAGCCTCTTAGTCACTTTCCTGTATGGCATAAGTCTAACTAAAGTAGTCTTTATTTTACTTCTCATAAGGTACTATTAATTTTATTTGACTTTAGATAATGAACAACTTTATATGGATACTTCCCCTTAAGCTTATAACATCTTTAAAGTAAGACATTTAATTAATTTCCTCAATATTTGGGATATCATATTACAATATTCCAGAATTTCTCTGTTGCATAATGCTAGGTTTTACTGAGGAAATAAAAAGCTTAGGTAAAGTAGTAATGGAATTCTTCTCTTGGACTTCTTGTTAGATAAGTAATATATACAAGACCTGTTTTGCTTTGGAAAGATTTCTGAGTCATTTAAGTCCCTAAAAAGGGCAACTAAACTTGAATTTGTATAAATTGGCTGTAGTTAAACTACTGAGTAATAATAATGTTAATATTTTCTACAGTGCTTGATGTTATGTAATTCAGTACTAACAACTTTTCCTTTATTATTTTCAGTCCTGGCAAAACTTAAGAGGATATAGTTTTATCAATTCTTTGTTGTTGTGGAAACCAAAATGCAGAAAACTTAGGTTATTTCTCCAAAATCAGTGTTGTGGAATTCAGAAGGTGTGGAATTTAGTCATGTGTGGTTGTACATACCAGTAACCCCAGGTACTCTGGAGTCTGAGGCAGGAGCATTACAAGCTTGAGGCCAGCCTGAAAAACTTAGTGATAACCTTTCTCAATTTTTTTAAGGGTTGGAATTGAAACTTGGTGGTAGATTCCTTGCCTAATGTGTGTGAAGTCTTAATTCAATCCCTAGTACCATACTCATATGCATAAAAAAACCATGTTGAATTAAAACCCAAGTTTACTTGACTCTGGACTATATTCTTCACATGTATTATTACTGTGCTACCAGATCTCCACAGCTACCTCCACTCTATATATCCCATACATTCAACTTAGTCCCTCTTTACCTCCCATTCTGTTTTCAAATTATTAAAGCTTATTGAAGTTAAACAGACTATGTCCTGCTAATACAACTGTATTTTCTCAACATAATCAGTTTGAGGAATATTGTATACATACTATTGGTTAGCAAGTGGTTCTGCTGCAGTGGATTAAGGGTAGGAGCACCCCCAAGGCCTGGCTGCCCAGCTAATGCTGCATGAGCAATTCCATGCTGAGGTCCAGGAGCAGCAAGAGGAGACTGCATCTTATCCTTATCCCAGGAGGATTCACTTCCACCTGAAAAAAAAAGTCATATAAATAGTCATTTGACAGTTTTCTTTGAGAATGTTTTTTAATTATTTTTATAAAGAAAATAATTAATGCCATTTCATAGAAAATTATTATTAAACATGGTAATTCATTTTATGACAGTTTAAAAAAACTTTCAAAAATCTAAGTATATATATAAAAAAAATCTAAGTATATAAGCTACCTCTGGGAAAACTAAGCCATTTTTACTAATACCATAGGATCACTTTCCTTAATGGTTCTCTCAACAAACTTGAAATAATAATGAATAGCTTTTGGAAGCACTTATATATTGAAGATTATTAAAACACACCATTCCCTTTCCATTCCAAGCCTCTAAAATATGTATGCTATATTTTAAAGAAGAACAGTTTCTGTTCACTAAAAAAGAACACACTAATTTGTAAGAGTATGATAACATACAAAATATACAGAGTAGGAAACAAACTTACCACTTATTTTTGGTTCAGCCCTCAAGCAATGCTTTCATACATAGCAAGATTCTATACAAAATAGGCTGGATAAAACATGAAACCATGGCTTACAATTTGAAATTATACTTTGATCACCACACTAGAGAGTGTAGTGAAATGCACACTAGTGCAGACTTCTATATTGCCGTGATCCATAGTGGCATAGCTATTTAATCTGGTACTGAACATACTTTGGGAACAGAGTCATTGCCTAAAATGATATGGGAAGGAACCCTAGATTTCCAGGGCTTTCTTTTAAGAAAAATTGAAACAAAGAAATAGAGAGTTAGATTTTAATCAGTACAAAAGATAATATTCTGGCTTTGGGAAACAAGATGTTGTATAGCAGCTCAACCTATTTGCTTGATATGTTTCATTCATTCAGGGTTCAATGGCTCTGCCCCCATAACCCTACTGGGATTGTGATATTAGAAACTCTACCTGAATGATACTGTCCCATATGCTAACTGAAACTATGACCTTGTTATATATGGAGATCAGACCTGGAGCTTTTGGGCCCTCTACAAAATGTTTGCATTTACAGGTTTAAAAATAAAGAATAAATTAACATATTTTCAACACATTGAACATTGTAATTATTTTCACTTTAGCTCCCTCCCAGATTCTGTTCATATGGATACTCATTTTTACATAGTAAACACTCTGCTACAATAACTTTATGTATCAGAGGGCAAAGGCTACACTGTATTATGCTGAGTTATTTAATTATAATTTTTAAACAATATACTTTTTCTTTCAGATTTATCACTAGAATAAATCACATTATAACAAAAATATTGAGTTATTTCATTAGAATAAATTAATTAGCTGGAGTGACATTTCTGGTTCCAAAATGACAGATATATTTATAGTACATTCATATAAACTGTCTTTAAAGTGTAAACTTTCCAGGGAAATGCTTTCAGGACCAAATGTTATTTCCCCTAGATATTTAAAATTGAGGGCTAGGGTTGTAGCTCAGTGGTAGAGCATGTTCCTAGCACATGTGAGATACTGGGTTGGATTATCAGCGGAAGGAAGGAAGGAAGGAAAGAAGGAATGAAGGAAGGAAGGAAGGAAGGAAGGAAGGAAGGAAGGAAGGAAGGAAGGAAGGAAGGAAGGAAGGTGTTGTGTCCATTTTCTCCATTCATTTAATAAAAGATTTAAAATTTATTTAAGCAAATGGCCTGCTAGAAACTCTGCCAGGATTTCCTTTTTTCTTTCAAATATGCATTTTTTAAAACTTTATTTTATTTATCTGTTCATGTGGTGCCAAGGATTGAACCCAGTGACCCACATGTGGTAGGCAAGTGCTCTGCCATTGAGCCACAATCCCAGACCTCTGCCAGGATTTCTTAAACGTTCTATCCATTCATCAACCATTCTTACCCTAGGTGTGGGGATCTTCATCCTCCTCAGAACTCTTTCAGGCTGATTTACAGGCAAAGTTAACCTTTAATCAATTCAAAAGTGGGGGATCTTAACCAGTATTTAACCAGATGAGCTAAGGAAACACCATATTTTTTTAGCAATACATGTAAAGATTGAGGGATACCTGGTCCTATGTATATAGACAATCTTTCCCAGTCAAACATGGAAGAAACAAGTAGCTAATTATTTAATTCCTATGATGAACAGTTGATCTGAATGGAAACTGGTAAGATGGGAAATTTGTTTAAATTTGATAGACTTAAAGAATCCAAAATAATTTTCTTGAACATGTGGAGGTTTCGAATGTTTATTGAGACCCTGTGAAACTTCTAAGATTATACCAACTGTTTTCTCTCTTCATCCTTATGTTTGATATTATAGAGTAACTGCCACAAAGCAGGGAAGTAATTTATGGTTTGGTGCATTTACATAGTTTCCCATTGACAAACTTGAAATTCTAATTAAAATCAATAAGACAGTGTTATGCTGCAACAAAGAAGGATGGTTGGGAAAGAGGAATATCAATAAACAATGAATGTAACCACACTAAAACACAGAAATTTGTTTTTAGTTACAATGGTATGACAAACATGATTAAAATAAGAAAATACAAAAATTCGAAAGAATAATTGCTAAGCAAAAAATTGAACCACTCCATCATTTTTGCATTTTGTTCAGTATACAAATTATCTATTGCAGAACTGCAATTTGCAAAGTGATGAGTAAAACATTGACAAAGCAATATTAATTTAGAAGATACTAAATCATAATGTATGTTATTAATGTGGTATTAAACTGTCACACAGCAATGGCATGCTGCAACCTTAGAGCTGAGACAATGTCAATATTGATTTTATAAACTAGAAACATTTTAGTCCACATTCAACACATATGGTACATTAGGCATTAGTCTAATGTTTTATACCTCATATATCCCAAATTAACTTGAATAGAAATGTTTTTTAAAACATCATAAAAAGATCCCAAAATGTTTTTGTGTTTTCTTTGATAAGAAATTTGGATGAACTTTTTCTGATATTTCATCATTGTTAACTACTGTTTTAATGATAGAATGAAGGTGATTTCCAGCTGTTTCCATCTATACTAAGTATGGATATAAGATAGTTTTGCAGTCTGTAGTGAGCAACTGAGAAATGTGGGAGTGTTCTTAATGTTTAGATTAGGTTGTATTAATGTTCTGGACATATTCTGGACTCCTGACCTATGATTGTTTACCATTGTTAAGTGTATACAAATTGACCTGTGACAAAATCTGGAATTCTCTGGTGGCCCCAAACATAACATCGTCTCTTTGTCAGATTGAAAGACAATATTAACTGCCTTTACAGGTAACCATGTACTTTTACTAATATAATCTACGGGTCTTTTTTTAAACCACTAAGTAGAAGTCTTAGGTATCCACCTTACTTTATCTAGGTACTGTGTACCTACATATGTATCTATCTCCACATCATTTTTTTATTTGCTTTAATTAATCATACATGACAGTAGAATGCATTTTGACACATCATACATAAATGGACTACAACTTCTCACTCTTCTGGTTGTACATTATGTAGAATCACACCAGTTGTGTAATCATATATGCACATAGTGTAATAATATCCAATTCATTCTACTGTCATTCCTACCCACATATCCCCTCCTCTCCCTATACTCCCCTCTGTCTAACCACAAGTACATTTATTCTTATCTAGCCCCCAATTCCCTTATTGTGAATTAGCATAAATATATCAGAGAAAACATTTGGCCTTTGGGTTTTGGGGATGGGCTTATTTTGCCACATGATATACTCCAGCTCCATCCATTTACCTGCAAACGCCATAATTTCATTCTTCTTTAAGGCTAAGTAATATTCCATTGTGTATATATACCACATTTTCTTTATTCATTCATCTGTTGAAGGATATCTAGGTTGGTTCCATAGTCTGGGCATTGTGAATTGAGCTGCTATAAATATTGATGTGAGTGTGTCACTGTAGTGTGCTAATTTTAAGTCCTTTGAGTATAAACTGAAGAGTGGGATAACTGGATCAAATAGTGCTTCCATTCCAAAGTTTCTGATGAATCTCAATACTACTTTCCATAATGGTTACAACAATCTGCTATCCCACAAGAAATGTTTGATTGTACTTTTTTCCCCACATCCTCACCATCACTTATTATTGCTTGTGTTCTTGATAATTGCCATTCTGATTGGAGTGAGATGAAATCTTTCCATATGTAGCAAAATGAAATTGAACACCTTTCTCTCACTCTACACAAAACTTAAGGTGAATCAAAGATTTAGGTACTACAACAGAGACCTTGAGCCTAATAGAAGAAAAAGTAGGCCCATCTCTCCATCATGTCATATTAGGAATGGGCTTCCTTAACAAGACTCCAACCTAGATGCCCTTCAGTGGATGAATGGATAAAAAAAATGTGGCATATATACACAATGGAATTTTACTCAGCAATAAAAGAAAATAAAACCATGGCATTTGCAGGTAAATGRATGGCRTTGGAGAAGATAATGCTAAGTGAAGTTAGCCAATCACCCCCCAAAAAAACAAATGCCAAATGTTTTCTCTGATATAAGGAGGCTGACTCCTAGGTAGGGAGGTAGAGCATGGGAGGAATCAATGAATTTCTTAAAGGGAAGAGGGGTAGGAGGGAAAGGGATGGGGCAGGGGATTAGCAAGGATGGTGGAATGAGATATCATTATACAAAGTACATGTATGAATAGTCAAATTGGGTGTCAACATACTTTATATATAGAGATATGAAAAATTGTGGTATATATGTGTAATAAGAATTGTAATGCAAAAAAGTAAATGTATAAAGACATGAATTGGTGTAAACATACTTTATATACAAAGATATGAAAATTTGTGCTCTATATGTGTTATAAGAATTGTAATGCATTCCACTGTCGTGTATTTAAAAAAATAAAATCAATAAAAAATATGGCAACTTCAGTTTTAAAACCCAGATAAATTTTATCCTCTGTCTTTATAAGATAAAACCAAATAAAAACAAACCAAAAACCTTTAAAAAAAACTCTTAAAGCACAAGAATTA